AACTCACATTCCTGAACACTTGGTATGAACTGTATCATTTCATGAATATTCATCTCAAAATACTTCCTGACTCTTTTTGAGGTCTCTTGCATGTCTCTGGCAGCGTGTGGGAACGACATCCCAAAATCCGTCACACATCTACACGGTATCGTTCTTTATTGTAAAAATTCCCCTCTTTCTTGCCGCAAAACGTTCCGAACAAACACTGCACAATTGTAAAATCTATCCTGCGTTTGACGTGTTTCAAATAGTAACATATGTTGGAGGTCTGGTAAACATTGCGCATCTTTCTATTGTGTTTTTTGTCACGTTAACGCCGACCTGTCACGGATTCACAAATGGGGGTCGGCCGACTGAAAGATGACTTTTCGACGGCTTTGTTTGTGTGATCCATGGAAAACATCAGACGAACCCTACTTTAGCGAATTGAACTACGTTCGATATCATCTTTGGTTTCAGTTGAGTGAGTGGAGTAATAAATTCAGTTAGTTTCATCGAAGAATTTGTCTAGAATGAGATATAGCGGTTTTCCTTAACTAGAAAGAATTATGGGTCTGCATGAGATTTCTGAGCAAATCTTATTTTTGCTCTAAGATAAGCAGAGCATCGAAATCATGAACGTTTCATGATAAACCGTTTGATAAATCATTTCATTTATGCTTTCCAGAATGTGATCAAACATCAAGATTCAGTTGAAGAAAATCACTGAAAATAGCCCAAAATACTTTCATCTCAGAATGCTAATAACAGCACCATCAATTATCATAGAAATATAGCAGATGATGAACGCAAAATACAAAAATTGACAGTTGTTATGTCAAAAATGATGATACATTTAGTCTCAGTTGTGAGACATTGGTTAGATCTTAACTAATTGGGTAGATATTATTACAGAAATAAAAAGGTCAGAATAAAATTACACCAAAATATAGTGACCCGACACGACTTCGAATGGAACTTTTATGTCTACAGTTTTTCATCATTGTGTCGCTTCAACTAGAAATTTTCTAAATTTACCCGAAGGGCGTACACGGGCTGAAAGTCAGTAATTTTTAGAACGTTCCAGAAAGTTCAGAAGTCAAATTTTTTAATGAGAATATCGTATTTATAAAAATCAAACTCATTTGAAATTTTCCTTTTTTATTTAATAACAGATTATTTTGACTCTATTCAGTTGAACTAGTTTTCTAAGACTACTGATGTGGTTACTTTTAGACACCAGCTGTCGCCTCCTTGTAGGTTCTTGTAACAAAGATCACAAAAAAACTAATTAATACAGTTTATTGTATGATTTTTACTAGAAATGGTTTAACAACCAACAATATGAAATAATTTTCATATAACTTCGAGACTAACTTTATCAGTACTATATTTTTTCCTGTGGAATTTTATTATATCATATAAGTTTTGTAGGAACAGTCATGTTTGACAAATAGTTTGGCAACTGTATCGAGTATTTCATCGTTTTCTGCATTCGCTGGACTAATACTAATATATCTTGAATACTGATTTTCACTAGTTCGGACTTCCATTGTCTACTATATAAAATGATTTGAAATCCCTGAAACAAGTAAAAAAGGATGATTAAAAAAGAATAGTTGAAAATAACAATTATATTAAGCAACAATAAACCTGAAATGAAATGATAGTGAAATAACCTACAAGTAAAAATATAATAATTGAATAAATAAAAATTAAAGGAAT